CAGCGGCGCTCGGCCCGGCGCGGGGCTGAGGCGGCGGCGGCAGCAGAGCCCGGGCCACCCCCTCGCGCCTGCCCCCCTACCCTTCCCATTTCGCATTTTCCAACGGAGAACTTCTAAAGTGGAAGAGAGAGCAGCAAACTACCTAAGTGGCAGTGTGACAGGACGTATGCCAACACAGTAAAATCCACAGTACAAATGCTGCAGTAACCAGCATTTCGCTTCTGTGCGCTGCCGTTCACCAGGACACACGGCTGAGCAGGTAGCCAGGGCAGGCAAAGGAAAAGCCAGGCCCAGGCGCTAGCGGCGCTGCCCGAGGGAGCTACAGGCACGCGTAGGGAAACACAAGTCCCTGCACGTGCCCGTGGCTGACAACGGAGCCGCTCGCTGATGGCACGAACCTTGTTCCCAAGCGTGCCCTGTGTCCCCAGCACAGCCGGCGGGGAGCACAGGGGCTTGCCCCTCGGGAAGCCTTCCTGCTCCCGTGGCCACACGTCTGCTCCAGCCTCACCGCTGCACAGAGCCAGGACACAGCAACCCGGCCTGGGAACCCTGACACCAGCTGTGGCCTGTGCAACCAACAACATTCTCAGCAGCCCACGCCCCAAGAGGGTTCATCGCTGCTTCACCTCCCATCTCGGGCCCCCTTCACAAAACACAGATCCTAGCTTGTTACAGGAGCAGAGACAACAGCGCCTCTTCCCACGTCACTGCCCGAGCACCGGGACCCCCTGGAGCTGGGCACAGCAGGCAGCCCGCCCAGCACAGGGCAGGCACGGGCTCACACCCCGCTGAAGTGCCCACTGCCTCCAGCACCGCGCTGCCCCACAGCTTGACACCTCACAGCAAAGGGCCTCCCGGTTTGTCCTGCTCCTATTCCGCAGCTCAAGTTACCTTTAGGGCACTTGGCGGCCTCACACCGGGCTCTCCCAAAGCACTTGCCTCTTTCTTGCAGGTGAACGCAAGCCAGGTGAACAAAACAGGGAGGAAAATCTCAAACTCGCAAGAAGCTAAAATAAKCAAACAAACAAAAAACCACTACACTTTTAAAGCCAGGTCTTTTGTGGGTTCCTTCAGACATACTAGAAACAGGTCTTCCTCTATATGTACAGGAAAAAAAATATATATTTACATAATTTTTTTTCTGTTCATTATATGGAGAATAGAGTGCAGATCACACACACATATTCCTTCCTTCTCTTCAAGTGCAAAACATGCCAGTTATTATTTTCCATATTACCTTCTTCTGGACTCTAGCCCCTTAATACCATCATTAATAYGCCTTTTAGCATTTACTAATGCAATTCTGACAGTAGTGTTTTCCTTCCTTGTGCCCTGATCACGTTATCCCTACCACCACCCTTCCTCAGCTCAGATCTCACCACAATTAAACCCATGGAGCTACTTCTTCTCCACCCAAACCATTAATTATCCATGTTTCCAGTCTCCTTCGTTTGCTYTTTCTTGTTCTCCTTAAGCTTCTGGACACTAAAATGCCTCCAACTCTACCTTCCTGACGTTTCAAAATTAAAACTTAACGACCTATTCTCCATCCTGTCCCATTTACTGGAACAAACTTGTGTTCATCTTTGGTGATCAGCCAGGCATTTAGCAGCTCACCTCTTACAGAGGGAAAATGAGGAAAACCTGTTTCACCCAGCACTGCTCTCATATCAAACACAGAGTACTTTGTAAATCAGGTAGGTAGCCCTTTCAGATGAGATAAACCTAGAGGTAGCCCACAGTTAAGTACTGCCTTTATTCAATATATAATGCTTATATTTCCAGAGTCCCCTTGGTAGTATGGTGTTCAGAATACCTAAAAAAAAAAAAAAAAAAAAAAAAAAAAAAAAAAAAAAAAAAAAAAAAAAAAAAAGCCAACAACAACAAACCAAAAAAAACAGAGTTTTTTTTTGCTTGGTTAGAGAAAAGCCTCTGCAATGCAAGGTTAGTTTTAAAGATATTTCAGTGTAGGAGTAACAAACACCCATCACCTTTATTCCTTTAATTTCTATTTCTTACTTCAAAGTGGAAAAATCCAGCCTACAACTTTCCCAGCCTTTCCAGCAGTACTAATACTCATCCTGCCAAACTGCAACCCAGAGAATCTCAATTCCCATTCAGGGAAGGGGCTTCAAACTTCCATCCTTGGCAGCCTACTAGGACTGCATCTCCACAGCACATGGGGCACTCAGATTCCCGAGGATTTTTGGCAGTGTTTGTAAAGCAGACTAAGTTAATTGGCAAAGAGCTCATTTACCATAACACTGGAATGGAACAACAACTCTTCYTAAAGGTAAATTAAATTACTGGAAAGCCAAAGCACACACATTAATACCTCTRCTCATCTATCTTCTCCCACTAAGTCACTTCAGCAGGTGGTTTGTATCAACAAGACAGCAGGAAAAGCTTGCAAATATTGGAAATGTATTGTCCACTCCAGGCCTACAGTACCTCACAAGGATTCCTGATCCCCAGGGTCTCTTGGCTTCAAGGTCTCTCTCTTTGGTGCTTATCCAACTACCGATTAGCCAAGAAGAGATGGATAAGCTGTCTTTCCTTTGAAATTCCTCCTCTGTTGACTTAGCGCTCAGCCAACACTGGAAAAAACCTCCCTCTCACTTCATCCACACACAGGGCTGCCGAAAGCCTCCCACCAAATTCTCAGACACGCACTTGTAAAAGGCGACAGTGTTCCACAGAGCGGTCTGCGCCCAGGGCCAAATCCTCGGAAATTTCATCAGCTTCAGCCTTACGCAAGCTCACTATTTGGCCCTGGGTTCACAGGAACGGAGCAGCCACCAGACCCCAGCAACACGCAGCGGGGAGCAGCAGGTCTCCCTCGAGCCTCCACGTGGTCTGGCCTCATGTGGCACTTGGCGGAGCGATAGGTATCGGTGCTGGACACGCACCCTGCCTACCTGCAGTCAGCGAGGAGCCCTCGGCCAGCGGGTTGCACATCTCCTGCGTTCAAGTTCAGTCTGACCTCRTTAATCCTCAGCATTAAGGCAGGCTGTTTCTCACTCCAGGCAGCCCTCAGGAAAGACAGAGGACATAAATTTGAGTAAAGAGGACATAAATTTGTAGTTCTACTCTTTTATGAAAAAAAGTGGAGAGTTGCGCTAACATCAGAACGGGAAAGACCATTCTCTTCCCCCTCCCTCCATCCTTTTTTTCCTTTTAAATTTAAATAAAGCATATTACTTCAAACTTTCTGAATGTTACAATTTTCTCTGTTCCAGGCATCTACCCCAGTTCAGAAAAAACRAATCACAAAATATGCAAGAAATGGATGGCCTTTCAGTAAGCTCACATCTGTCTTCCCCTGCTTTGACAGTGCTAGAGGTCAGGAAAAAGAATCTTACCCACTGAGGGAGTAGCAAAACATATGCTCATGTGAGAGAATGGCTTTTCTTCAGACTGCCCAGACATCTGGATAACTGAATTATGCTATTCATAAAATGAATATTTTATTAATATTATTCATAAAATAACTTAACCATGGTCCTAACCATTCAGTGATTTATTTATGTTTATATAATATTGTAATAAACACTAACATAGCTTTATTTTAATATTTATGCTTAGTGTGTATGTTTATGTTCCACAATGAAATTACTACCTAACTCTATTACTTTCCACTCTAAATATATTTCTTTCCCTCAAAGTCTGAGCAAGAGTTTAAGAATTCAGCTGTATTTATTCCCCAGAATTCTTAATTATTTCACCATCAGCATTTATGGTGATGGAATTTATGTTGGAGGAGTATTCACATGTTCACTCAGAAGTTTAACTGCAGATTTCAGCCTCTATGTACAATGGAGACTATACTGTCAAATATCTTTAGAGAAAAACTGATTTTTTTTCTTGTAAGCATAATTTATAATAGCAATTTCATTTTTTGCTCACTTTTGTAAATGCAATTTACAAATAAGCCTTTTTCATATTTTAAGTATTAATGCAAACTAGTCTGGAGAAAGCCATCATGCATTGGCATTCCTTTTTCTGCCAAATACAACAGAAATTCGGCTTTAATTTACCTTCCTGTTGTTTTTGTCACACTATTCACCTTAAAAAAATATTCCTTCCCTCTTTTTTCTAGTACAAATAGTAGAAAGTATTAATATTTGCAACAGGAAAAAGTCTCTCTACTACAAACCTCTTACATTTTTCATTCCTATTCAGGAAAGACTCAATTCCTGTAGAGCACTTGTAAACACTTGCTATGTCYTTCTAGAGACAAACTCGTGGAGTCTGTGCTCAATCTGAATGTGGCCCCTGACAGACAAAACCTTCTTTTGGGCTGTCTTTACAAACGGTTGATGTTGGAAACATAACAGCCCAGAATGGCTGAAGATAAGATAACTAACTAACTGATGAGGCTTCAATYGGAAGTAAGTCAAGCTTGTTATGGGCTAAAATGATTGCACTTGGAAAAAGGACAAAATTGTCTAGAAGCAGTGACAGCTGTTGCAGAGATATGAAGTGCAGTAGTGACCTCAACTTATGAGAAACAAGAAATAGAGGTCTAAGCAAAAATATGATGGAGGTTAGAGTTCAAAATTAGCAAAATCTGTACTTACCCTCTCCACAATACATGTGCCCAATACTTTGTCTCCCCCTGCCTCCTCCCCTCTCTTCATGTCATACAGTAATAGACAGAAGTTAGCAAAACCACTTCAGATCAGTTACTATAAAACCAGGACTGAGAATGAAAAAGTATATGCATATTATAATTATTCTGAAATCAAACAAACAATTTGGAAGGTCATGTTGGACTTAAAAAGAAATACAAATTTATCATGGTATGAGATTCTATYGTAAGAACAATGATAAAAATACGTAATTTTCCTACAGTATTGTATTATCATAAGATCATGATTTCGGTATTTATCACCCTGCTCCCCTGCTGCTGGATGGGTGGTGACAGAAAAGGTCACYGCTCCAGCTGGCCTCATCTGAGGGCAGCAGTGGCTGCGCTGCCYCGGCACAGCCTCCAAGCCAAGGCCCTTCACATTAAAGCAGCAGTCCTGTGGATTTGCCCAGAGTTACTTATCCCTGCTCGCGTCTCTCACACGTTTCAGCTTAATTGTATCTCATTACACGGCAGACTAGTTGCTGTTACACAGCATGTGCTTGTGCTTGGACATGCACACAAGCCTACGGGGAGTTTTTTTCTCTCTTAYTGCGTGGGCTTTAGATGCTTTTCTGCAAGACAGTGTCTATGAGGCAGATACAGAAATGTAGCAACTGTTTTCTTTAATTTCATGGCATTTAAGAAACCCATTTGAGCAGATTACATATGTGTACGTAGGAAGCAGATCCTGCAATAATTCTGAAGATTTTCACTATAGGCACCTGAATATTAAGCAAAAGCTACTCTAGGAAAAAATGTCTACCTCAGTGTTACACTACCTAGCAAKTAAGCAGAAAACAGTGAAAGGTCAGGTGCAGACCCTTTCCTTTTAAATGAAGTTTATGTCTTGTAAGATTCAAAAGATTCAGAACTTCCATATAGGCTAATTCTGGAGATTACATATAGGACTGCACTTGAAAGTAAAAATATTGGTAGAGGTGGGAAAATATTCTTTCCCCTCACTAGTATACTGTAGTATCAGGCCAAATGGTGTCCTTTCAGAGGAATATAGCAAAGACAGACTATTCCCAAATAAAAAGAGCTACTATGTTATGCAGCTTTCATCATTTCTCTTTGCATTTAGGAGCAAATAAAGATTAGGTCAGGGAGATAAATTTATAAAGAGAAGAAAAAAAATATTTTACTAAGTCATGGATTTAGTTTCTTACCAGTTGCTCAAGTGAAGTCTTGCTCTGCATTACTTCTTTTCTCATATTAGCTGACAGGTAGAAAATAGAATTAAAAAGAGAAAAACAACAACAAAAGAGCCTTTCTCTTGGTAACAATCTGTACTAGCTGATAGTATTCCAGAAGGCATGTCACAATAACTCTCCCGTCTGTTTTCTCTTTGTTTCAGGCCTGTTTCCATGGATCCCCAGACCTAGGCCCCACTGAAGGGATCCCCAGGGCATAACACCACRTACTGGCAGGTCACGGACCAAGCATCATGTACAGAACACAAACAGAATCTCAACAGCACAGTGGACACATTAAACCTACTGCAAATCCACTTTACTGATCAGGATCCCAGTAGAYGAGAAACTGGAGAAAGAGAGGCAGCCCCAGCATATTACTGGAAATGCAAAGGAATTAGGCAGTCTCTTGTGCTGTATTAGCTTGTGATTCTAGGGAGGTAAAACCAGCCCGGTGAGSCTGAGTAAGCACTTGGTGCTGGGTGGCTCTAAGAGCCATTGCTCCTTCACACCCAGTTCATCCATCCATGCAATAGCCAGCTGAGGGGAAATGCCCTGTGGATTTCTCTCCTTTCCCTGCTATAACATCATTCCCATACAGCCTCACATTTAATGTTACTGCACACAAACTTACACATCCTACATTACGTGAAGTTTCAAGTACTGTAAGTGCAATTGCAGGCCAATTGGCTCTCGTGAAATCCTGGGGTTTTTTTTKGAGAGAAGCTCAGCATACTTTTTTGTGATAGTTTTAAAAAACTGTAATCTTCTGTCCACACGCCAGTAGAGCATCTACTRTCTGCCAAAAATGACTTTCCCAGTGCTGTCCAGGGCAATTATCTCAAACCTGACCTGCAGTGTTTAACTTTCGAGCATCTGGGAGGTTAAATTGCTCAATAATAGGCTTTCTCCTATGCACAGGCCATACCATTACATAAGAATCACTACTTAGTTTACATTCTTCATTTCCCCCTTCAGGAATGACKAGAGAATGAGTGCCCGCAGCAGCTTCTCCATTACACACTCATTAGCTTTACCTAATGCAATCTTCCATCGGGCACCAGACTGGAATCTGCTGAGACTGTGGCCATCTGTGAAAGCTGCCTGGAGGGGGAAAAGATTTTGCAGGCTGCTATATTGCCCCTATCTCAGGCACAGCAAATTGCTGTGCAAATGGCTTTTCCTCCTTCACCTCTTACTGAAGACCCACATGACCATCTCACCACTGCAAGTTATGACAGCAGATGATCTGGAAAGCAGGGAGAGATCTGATGCTCTACAGGCTGCATATTGCTCTCCACTGAAACTGCATGAGTAGAGTGATGGGAATGATGAAAAATGGACTCTTCCAAATGCCAAGTAAAATTCCAGTTATTTCATACTTCGGATGATAATTTATTGTACTATCCCTAGGACATTACAGGAACATGCCAGAAAAACTATCTGTACCTTAAAAAGAACACCGAAAGTGCAGACTTCAATCAGCAGAGATGCGTGAGCGTAAAGCAAGCGTTCTGGGAGCCACTGCATATCCAAATGCTTGATTTGAAGCCTTAGTGTTCCACTRAAGTTGCTTAATTGCCTTAGTCCAAAACTTACCAATTCTCTGATATGAGAATCATATCAGATAACACCTGATATGAGCTGATAGTGGAGAGAAAGCTGGACCCACTAGCTTTGCCACAGGCCACATTGTGATAGTGACAGTAGAAGATTGTCCCCCACTATAGAGAGCAACAGTAGTAGGGGACAAGGTACGTGCAAACGTTATTAATGGATTTGACAGGCTGCTGACAGCAAAGGGATGGAAAGGCTCTGTAATCCTCCCTAGATCCAGGAATGAAAACCAGGAGCACACTGAAATAGGCGCAGACTTGTCTTCCTTTCTCTTCTCCACTCCACCCTTCCACCCCCAGCCTGTCTCATCTCCTCATCCTTTCTCCCCACCCTGTTTCCTTTTCAACAGGTTTCTGGCCCGTTTCTAAATCTTTCCTTAGCTCCTCATGCCAATCTCTCTCCTCCGGGTTACTCTTCCTGTTAATCTCTCTATGGCTCCCAGCCATGTGCTCAATAGTCGGGTTTCCTTTCCCCACTCCCTCCTAATTCCTGCCTCCTCCATTCATTAGGTCTAA